CCCCCCCCCCCTCAACGGCCAGCAGCAGCGGGCGCCACGTCGAAACGGCCGCTTTGAAATTGCTCGGGCCTGTGCGAAACCCGCCACCGCAAAAACCTGCAGTATCTTGTGTCTGGACCTCTAGGCCATGTCCGGTGGGGTGAAAGGACACTTAACACTGCGTTATTTTTTGAGGGACGGCTAGGACCCGACAAACATCCTGGGCCGCCCCATTTTTGTTTTTGATTTTTGCCCCAGGGGCCTCCATCCGGACATGGGAACTGGACAACGGACACTGGACACCGGACTATCTGGAACCCGGTCCGGACGTCCGGGTGGTTACCATGCTTAGGATGGGTCTATTTTGAACTGCTGACAAACCTTTGGTCTGGAGCATTCTTTGACTCTGGCTTCCTTCGACGACCTAGACTAGAGAGTTGACGTCCTTCTGAGCCTCAAACTTTCCATGCCTAAGTTGTGTTTGGCTTGAAAGTTCAATAGTGGCACCTTCCCATGGTAATACAGTAGTCGTGGACTTCAACTCAAAGCCCTGCCCGACTTTCTATCATTTCCTGAGCCCATATGACTCTTATTTTCTGGTCAAAGATGGCCACTTCGATTCTGTGCCTTGGTTGAGAAGCTGTTGAGCCCTGTGTGTCACTGCAAGATCCTGAGGATCATGGCCAAGAACTTGATGTAGCAGTGCATTCTTTTGGTTTGCTCCGGTAACTGCAAACGGTGACGTAAAACAAAATCCACTATGAATAAGTAGACGTTTCGAAAGTTTATGGTGAACACGGACAGGAAGCTTGGTTTCTCCTGGGGACACCATCAAACCAGCACAAAGCTGCAAAAATGCACCTCCAAGATGACAACATGGAAATTATAGGGCTGTGACCAGCAGAATCTGATAAACTCTTCAGAGTATGTATAGCAAACATACTGGACAGATTTTGAGGTGAAGGACCGAACAACATGCTTTCAGCCAGCCCTGCATAGTCAACCTAAACTCGTCAATGAGGTTGGGTGCAGAGGGAAGACAGAAGAGAGAGAAAGGCAATACAGGGGAGGAAAGTCCGAGAGAGAGAACATACCTGGTACAATCCAGGCATTCTTGGCAACTCCTGATTTCAAACCTGCAATAATGCCAGCACAGTGTGTCCCATGTCCCTTTAGGCTGCAGTCCTTAGTGCCTAAACCATCCCCCACTGTCTCTACTCCTTCTAGTACACGGTTAGGTGGCTGCCCAGTGCTGTTCGGCACATTTGGTCCCCACTTGAAGTTCTCATGTGATGGAAATACCCCCTGCTCAAGCACCACGGGAGAGTCCAGAAAAGACATGTAAACAAAGATGAAAAGAGTGGATATTCACATACACTCAAGTGTGCACGCTTGAAAGCTGACAAACATTCAATTCTGTACACATACTTCCATGCTTCTTTCCAAGAAAAACCGTAATACACACTTAAGGCCTGGCTCCATTCCAGTGCAGAGAGGATCACTAGATTCACCATTTTGCCATCCACTGGTTGTGTAAAAACAAGACCAGCGCGTGAATAGGCCTAGCAAATTTTGAGAAGTATCCTAAGTTGGACGCAGAGGACAGTTCCAAGCCTCATACCTCTTTGTAGGATTGATAGCAGACTGTCTAGAGACAAACCAAAGCCGCTTTCCACCAGCATTAGCAGGACATGAGCTGACATTATCGGCTATTAAGCACCATTGCGAGGTCCCTGAAACTCATGGCAGGCAGCACAGGGCCAGAACTCCCTGGGTACGGGTCAAAAGGGGTGCAGGCCCAGTTGGCACAGACAGGGAGCCAGTAATTTTTCCTGGGCCCGTTTAGGGTACTGCTTACTACAGAACAGTCCGGAATGAGTTCCTTCCCAGCTGAAGGAAGACCCAGCCTCAGTATATAAGTCAAGGTCGGGAACGTCAAGACGCAGGTCGCAGCTAAGTTGCAGGAGCGTTAAGTCAACAATGGAGGAGAGCAGCTCCATGCAGTCATCTAGCGACATAGCTGTCCAGTGCTGAGGAAGAAGAAGCCCAGCACCAATGCTGTGCGGCACTGTGGTCACAGAGGGTGGCAGTGGAAGGGGAGATCCTAGCAGGACAAAGGAAGGTCGTGGGAGAGAGGGAGAGGGAGCGGGCGGTGTAGTATATGCTGGACTAGCAGTAGAATAGCCAGTCATACATGCTGGGTAGAGAAATGTTATGATTCTGGTTGTTTGTTGCCTGAAGGCCAACACTCACTCACAGAGACTTCCAGGTATGCCCATACATACACAGAAGGAAGGGGAGAGGA